CCAAAATTAATCAGAAAGCACTAAACCCTAAAGGCATTTGGTGCTCACAAAATTTAAGGACCCCAATTACTAAATAAGCAAATATAAAATATGAAATAATGCCTATTGCCATGGAAAATCCATTCACATTCTCATTTAAAAATAAATAAATAAATAACTTGGCAAATGAGATTCTTGTTTCTAGGCCTAGGGCTATTGTGTGTAGTAGTATTTTTGTTTGATATGGATAAGGAATCTAAAGGGGAATATTAAAAATAAAAATAAAAATAAAAACATAGTTAGTGCCAAGCATAGGTGTAATATTCAATTTGTTTTCCAATTCTTTTGCACCATTTGCTTATAAAAGGCCATAACCAAGAGTTTTTGTTCATAACATGCAATAGAGTTGTAACAATTTTATTTGTGTGTGAGTAAGAAATTAAGACAAAAGTTATCCAAAAAAAAACCAAAAATAAAAAATGGGTGAGCAAAATTTCTTGAATAACATGAAGCCTTATTTGGCTATGGTAGCTCTTCAATTTGGCTATGCTGGAATGTACATAATTAGCCTTGTCTCTTTGAAGAGTGGATTTAGTCACTGGATTTTGGTTGTTTATCGTCATGTTGTGGCTACATTGGTTGTCTCTCCTTTCGCATATTTTCTCGAGAAGTATGTTTTCAATTTTTTTAATTCATTTTTTCTTTATTTAATGAGGAAAAAAACAGTAAAATTTAAATTATGATTAATGTTTCGTTGACTTGTTTCAGGAAAACCAGGCCCAAGTTGACAAAATCAATTTTCCTCAAGATAGTTGTGCTGGCGTTCTTAGAGTAAAGTCCTGATCAAAGACTTAATTCATATATATTTTTGGAATATTATTGGGCTCATACATGCATGAATAAGGCAACGAGGGAGCTAATAGTGTGTGTTAATTAAAAAGAAATAATGGAGAAAAATATATATATATGTATATTTGTGAAATAACAAAAATAATTTGTCAGAATATAATTAAATATATCTCCAATAATTTGAGGCATGTGATTAATTTGTCCAGTAACCTTTTTTAGTTCAGAAAATAGTCAAAATACTCACTAGCTAATAAATAATGCAGAACATGAACAAATAAATTAAGGCAAAATTTATCCACTGATTAATTGCCAAAAATGACAAAAAATATCCACCGACTCATATGTTTGGATAGAATGCTAGAATTTGATTAAATATTGAGTATTTTTTACAATCTTAAGAATTATTGAACAAAATTATCATTATTTTCTCATAGTTATTGACAGGTTTTACAATTTTCCCTAGTTACTCGTAGTGAATAAGAAAATTAAATGTTACATCAGTCTATGATTATTGGACTTTATAATTGTATTAACATGGAATTTCCACAAATTAACTAATTATTGATGATTATCTAGTATCTAATTACAGTTTAATTGTTTGATTAATAATTAAAACTAGGCCAGTGCTGGACCAGAACATGTATTACCTTGGAATGCAGTACACGTCAGCAACGTTTGCGTCAGCAACTGTCAACGTCTTACCCGCCATCACCTTCATATTGGCCGTCATTTTCAGGTCATTAACTTGGGCTAATACGAGATTAATGAGTTCAATTAACAGTTAATTAGTACCACACCTGAAAAAAAATTCTTAATAGTAAGCTCTTTTTTAATAAATTCTACTAATATATAAGAGTAGCAAGGGAGCTAGCTATTCGTTTTGGCTTAATAATCAGAAATTATTTCAAATAAATGTATTTGCCATTTTGATACTTAAGTTTGAAAGAATTAAATCCTGGAGAAATTTTATCATACTAAATCCAAATCCTCTGGGAAGATTAATTGATATGTGTACGGAACACATGTACGGTACAACATTGATATTAAAAATTTAAATATACTAAATCATATAAAATATTTGTAAGGTAATTGTTCAGTTGTACAAACATAACATCTTATAAATATCCACATATAAAATATACTAGAACTCATAAAAAAATCATATAAATCAAAAATCAATAGTATTTTTTCATATACTAAATTATCAAATTTATTTATTTATTTTATTGATTTTTAATAATTTGTCACAGGTTGGAGAAAATAAAACTGAAAAAGGTACACAGTTTGGCTAAAGTGACAGGCACTGCAATAACACTGACAGGGGCAATGCTCATGACGTTGTACAAAGGTCCCGTCGTTGACATTTTGTGGTACTCACACGGCAGCGCCCACCACAAAGCCGCCGCCGCCGCCGCCGGTTCCGATCAGCACTGGGTCACCGGCACAATTATGTTGCTGAGCTGTGTAGTGGGCTGGGCTGGTTTCTTTATCTTGCAAGTAAGCCCATTTCAAAATTCCCTTTGTTTTTTTTCCCCCTTTCTTTTTCTTTTTTCTTTTTTCTTTTTTCTTTTTCAATAAGGATATCAAATTATCAATATCATTAATAAAAGTAAAAGAAAACTTATCTAATTTATTATTTTTTTAATGTAATTTTTTCATCTTTAATTTTTTTTTTTTCACAGAATAAAACATTGGAGGAGTATCCAGCAGAGCTATCCCTGACATCACTCGTTTGCGTTACTGGAATGATTGAAGGTGGAATTGTGGCCGTTATAATGAAACACGACAAGAATTCTTGGGCCGTTGGCTTCGATTCTAGGCTTTTAGCTGCTGTTTATTCTGTATGAATATCACATTTCTATTTTTTTATTTAAATATAAAACTTACTATATGTCAATATATGTATGACTAATTATCAAGTAAAATTTTAAATAATTGTTAATTGCAATTACAGGGGATTGTTTGTTCGGGAATAGCGTACTACACACAGAGCAAAGTGAACAAGATTCGGGGGCCCGTGTTTGTGACCGCATTCAGCCCGCTTAGCATGATTATAACAGCCGTGTTGGGAGCCATAGTCTTGGCTGAGCAAGTTCATCTTGGAAGGTACGATTTACTGTCAATTTGATGTTAAATTAGCAGATCATTCGACTATTCATCAATCGCTTATTAGACAAACTACTAATTAATTCGCTAGTCAAATCAGCTAATATAATCCATATCGTCTCTTGTATCTGTTATTCGTTATCGGCCAATTGACAAACTAAGGCCCATACGCTAAACAATGTTTGATTGATTAGGTTAATTAATCCATATTTGATTAATTCGTATGAGATTATGAACATAAACGATCTGTCTAAGCCACTCGAGTTACCAATTTTCTTCAGTTTTATCATTTTTTCTACACTAACTTTGAATTCTTTTACATTTTTCCATGTATTCACGACGACCAACAGCTTAATCGGGGCAGTCATTATAGTCATCGGGCTTTACTCGGTCGTTTGGGGTAAGAGCAAAGAGCGTTCGTCTCTGGAGAAAGAGGCTTCCTTTTCGGGCCGGGCCAACGAGTTGCCAGTTGTGGACAAGAAATCATCAGTTCAAGATCAGGAGCCATGACATAAGCTATTAGAAATCATCAGAATTTTTTTTTTTTTTTTTTTTTTTTTTTTTTTTTTTTTCTCTGTTTTTTGGCAAGAAATGTAGTGGGGTTTGAAATGTTGGACGTTGCATTTGCAATTTAATTATATGCAATCTCATGTTTAAGCAGTGATTTTTCCAAATTGTGATATTTAATTAAAGATTACAACATTTTATATGCACTTGTATACCATATTAAATTTTGGGTTTAGTCAAGCATGAGATTATATTAATATAGTTATTACATGAAATCATAAGCAAATTACATTTCCTGTATGTGAAATCGGGGATTGTTGGGCTAGTTTGATATAAATATTTAAAATTTCAAGCTGCATGTAGATATATTTATTTTCTCCACCTAATCAAATTAAATAGACATTTTTACAGTATTGTTAATTTATTATTATGTTTAAACACTGAAAAATTGGGGAAGAATCACAATAAGCATTTGTTTGGTTTGAGAGATTTTTTTGCTTTTCCCTTTATTTGGTTGGAAATTTAAAAGTGGATGAAGACAAAAATTTAAATAAAATACATGATCAAATATATAATGATTTGCATGATACAAATTTTGTGACGAGGGAGAATATCAATTAGACAAGTCAACTAATCTTATTTTTGAATAAAAATGCATAATTACACTATGAAATTTCAACGTAAGAACTTTGAATATGAAACTATGCAAACTTGTTAAAAGAATATGCCGCCTAACCGTTAGCACTATGTAACATCAACCTTTAATGTTCATGAAAATGGGCATTTTGTTAATTGTTATTATGCTTTAGTTAATCAAATATTCTAATAAATGAATATCACAAAGGCGCGGGAAATTCAAAACATCGGAAAACAAAAACACACCATTCGCGCGCGAGAAAAAAAAAAGTGTCTCACGTGAAATAACCCGCTACCGGTTCAGCCGGTCACCCCAAACCACAGCCCAAATCTCAGCACTTTGGATTTTTCTTTTTCTTCCCTCACAAAAAGTGTTGTTCTTTTTGACGTCTTATACCTCCAAAATCCAATTAAAATTCTCCCTCCACATCGCAATTCACAGAGGGATCGAAAAATCCCAATCCCTAATCTCAGCTATGGAGGTGAAGGACGCCCGGCGAAGATTGGTTCAATCCACCCTGTTTCCTCGCGCCGACAGCTCGATCAAACCCTGTGCAAATCACGATGGCGATAAAGGTGAAGAGGCGGCTGAGGAAAGTCAGGAGGAACGTGGAGCTAGCAAAAAGAGGAGTGGAAGTAAGAGGAAGGGCAATCCGAAGTCAGTGAAGACGACGCGAGCTTCTCCTAAGGAGGTGCGTGTTTGGTCTACTCATCTTACAATTTCTTGGTTTTCTTTTGTTTGATTTTGTCAATTATCATGTGTCGATTAGTGTTACCTCCAGCATTGATGGCTTTAGGACGAATTGATACGGTTTCGGTGTTTGAATTTGGGTGTGCATTTATACTTAGCCGGCTGTTGTTGNACTATTTCCTTGGAGACATTGCAGTGTTGAATTTCAACTTAATTGAGTTTGATCGATATGCAGTGTTCTTGTTTGTTTTGGTCTGGTATGTATGGTTCAAGTGTGCTTGTAAATTTAGCTAGCCTTTTTTTTGTGTGTCTGGGAAAGCCTGTGCTGTTTCTGTGGAGCCATTGCAGTGTTAAATTTCAACTCAATTGAGCTTGATCGATCTACACAGTGTTAGTGTTTTGTTTTTTGTATTTTCTGCCATCTGAGCATGGCTTGATAGCATGACATCTTAATTCAGAATCGTTTTTGTTGAGCTGAATAAGATGGATGGTTATGCAACAATATTGTGATTCAATGCTTTGGACCAAAGCAGGAAACGGAAGTTAGAAGTGTTGGTTCTGTCTGCCTACAAAGTTCGTATTATGTACGAAGTAACTGATGACCAAATCAATTCATACATGTTTTCCTATATAAATTTGAAAGCACATATATGTATGTTGCATATAAACTGTAAGAGCTACACACACATTACACTAAAATTTCTTCCTTAAAGGTGGGGTTTTCAGCTGAAACAGAGAAACAGTAAAGCGAGGAAGTGGGTCATAGAATTAGAGACGTGGCAGCACAATACATGTCGTGCTTTTACCTAGTAAAATGTGATAATTAGCAGAAAATATTAAAATGTTTTTACTGACTGTACTTTCACAGTAGATTTTATTGGATGTTTACATTGCAATGAATCAATGATGGCTGTTGTGTTCAAAATAGCAATACTTGTATTGTATGTCGTAACCACGGTGTGGTAGTGAACCCTAGGTGAAAGGTGAAGTAGGGTCTCAGGGCCTCTTAGGCGTTAGAGGGGTGTGTTGTGAATTTTGACGAATCCACTCTGTTTCAATTTCTAGAATAAGAATTAAGCTCGCACATAACATATCTTAATACATGTTCTCATTTTATTTGATAAAGTTGACCTTCCAGGAGTAACCAATGGAAAACCAAGTGCAAACAGAATGTAGCTCGGGGTGGTTTCTATTCCAAAAATAGTGCCACTGTACTTCCTTTCTCATTTCTAATTATGATAATGTTGTCTTAATAGCAAATCTCTTGAGTGAGAACTTCAGAAGTGCTAGCATGTTTTGTAAAAGTTCGAAGAATTATTAAATTGAATGGATTTAACTATATAATTATACAATGAACAAAGACTGACATAATTTATCTCCTGATTGCGAAAGCATGAAGGTTGCCAAACCGTGTATTATATGTTTAGTCATATTTCTTTCTTGACTAATTTCTGTACTTGTTACATTTCAGGTCATAGAGAATGGTGAAGCAACTTCAAGCCAGCAAGATGATAACGGTTCACCAGTTCTCTTGAGTGAGTGAATACAGGAGTATATGGAAATATTTCAGCTTGTTTGGTTGATATTCCATTACTTAAAATAGAGTTGAGGATATATATGGAGCATGTGTGTATAATTAGTTTGTTTTCTCGCAGAGTCCAATTTCTTTGTAAAGGTCTCCGAGCGGCAGCAAGAGAAAATTCAGCGAGATCAGCCGATACTGGTTGATTCCGCCCCTGAAGGCAATGAAAAACTGTCTTCACCTCCTAGACCTGTTGCAAGTATGTTATATTTTGCAACACTGATGTTTGAACAAGTCTTATTGATAATAACTGCCAATCAATGTGATTGCCTTTGATTTACAATATATTGCATTGGCTTATATTCAGATAGTTGACACTAAGTTGAAGTTTGGATGTTTTACAAACTTACCTCCCTGACTCATTATAGCTTCAATTCCATTAGAATGTAGGAGTACACCTCGCAAGCTGAAGGGGCAGGATAACTCAACTCCAAGAAAGGAAAGGAGGAATTCAACACCCAACAAAAAGATGAAAAGCGGCAAAAGAGAATTATGCTGCAAACAGATCCCATTTGACCTTGCAATGGATGAACAGAAATTACCAACAATTCCTGATCTCAGATTGGAAGCAAAACTGTCAGCAGAGGTTTGTTAACTGAATCATCTTTTCTTTCAGAATCTAGCATAGAAGAATGCATGTGGTTCATAAAAGTTTTAAGAATAAGTTTCTAGCATTTCCTTGCTATAAATGTTTTGTCTCTTGATCTTCCATTGCTTTTATTAGGAAAATTCACGTGTATTTTCTGGACGACAAATCCATCCATTTTTCACGTCATGGAAAGGGGGAAAGTCAAGCCAAGATATGAGTGATTCAGATAGTAAGTGTTCGTCCTTCGAGAGGAAAGAAAAAGGCATTTCTTTCAACCTTATCCACGTATTTGAGGATGTTGAGGTATTTCATATATTTGCTTGTTCATCTAGAATTGGAGCTTGAAGTTATTGTGTTTGGTTACCCACATTTATTTGAGATGGGATTTTTATTTTGTAAAAGTTGATATATGCATTCCAGGGTGATCAACCGACACTCAACTGGGGAGATTGGATTTTTACTGAAAGAAGTGCCGTTGATGATGTAGATTTTGGATGCTCACCAGTTTATGAAGGATCTATTGACTCCTTAAATTTTGATAACTTTCTGAATTCTTCTCATTTCACAAGATTTGCGTTACACCAGAACTCTCACTTGTGTTCCGTCGAACAAAATGAGGTTTCTGGGCTGCCTAATAACCCAGAACATTCAAATCTCCTCTCACCCATATTAATTGCTGAGGAGAGAGAAGTATGCGTTGACCAACAAAAAGATTGTGTGCTGCCAAAAGATGCAGATGATATAATTGCTGAGTCAATTGAATCATTGCAGGTATATATTTTTGCACTTCTCGACATTTGTTTCCTAACTTCTTGGAATGAGATGCCATCATGAAGCACATGTCCTACTGGAAACATATTTTATTTGCAGTGTGCTAACCTCTTCTTTTCAAAGATACATATATTCCTAAACCATATGGACAACTTTTACAAAAAAAATTGGCCATTTACATTTTCAGGACCATGGGAGCTTGAAGGCTGAGGTCCAGGACAGGCTTCTTGAGGAAAGGTAAGAATTTTTAACTGCTATATGTGAATGAGCCTTCTTAATTATACACCATTTGCAATTACTGAGATTGAGAATATTCATTTCTGTTTTCTTCTGCCAGAGTTAATCAATAGAATTAAATATTCAATTTTCATGAACTTTTCTACTGTTCTTCACTGCTAATTGTCGAAACTCTTTGCCTAACAGCAACTAATATTTCAAAGTTTCATTTGTGTTATTGCTATTCAGGATCATGTCCCACTATCATACTTCCCAGAATCTAACAGAGAGTTGCTTATGGACAGACAAATACCAGCCTCAGAATGCCAAGCAGGTCTAATATTTCACATAATCAATAAACAATTCTTTACGTTATCCTAATTTATCAAATATAAATACTATCTATGAAATTTATTAGTGTCTAACAACTCACTGTCCAGAGTGTGGCAATACAAGCTGATTACCTCTATAACTGCTCAAAATTGATTTTGAAGATATGTGTACTGTATTAGGCTAACTAGACCAGAGCTGATCTATTAATTTTTTAAAGCGGAGGTTCCTCAAATGATTTTCCTTCTGCTGGTTATGATCTAGAGTAGATGAGATGTGTGTGTTTGGATCTTACTCAAGGTACTTAAATTTGAATGAGTACTTTACTCAAATGGTTTATATGTCTTCTAGAGAATTCATAAATCTGGAATAGATATTATTGTCCTTGGTTTGGGTTTCTATTTTCTGTTCGCAGGAGGAATCACCTGTCATGTGTTCCATTAATTAAGTACCAGACTGTAAATCACTCATACTGTATCATCAAAACCACATCTCTACTTTAATGTCACCTTTCTTTCGCCATGTTTCTGATGTCTTGTCTTTTTAATCCGTTCTGTATACTCTCTTTCTTGTCAGATATGTGGTAATGGCGACTCTGTAGAATGCTTAAGTGAGTGGCTTCATAATTGGCACAAAACAGGCACCCTAACCAGCAGAGGTTGCATAAATGGAGATCATTCTAAAGATGGCGATCATGATTATGAGGATAGTGACTCTGATACCGACAGTGTTGAAGAAAGCTTGAAGAATGTTCTCTTAGTGACTGGACCTGTTGGGGTATTTATATATTTTTTGCCTTCTGGCTTTACCTTCAGAAAGTAGTATTTTTCTGGCAGTCGTGGGAAGAAATTTAGCTATGTTTATCATCATATCATCTTCGTTATTATTAAAAATTCGCTGGAGTTGGTACCTAAAATTTAATGTCGATTACATTTACTAAATGTTTGGTTCCTTCTAATCTTTTCCCGTAGTTAATAAGTAAAATGCACTTGCCAGCAGCAAGTTTCTTGTGTAGTAGTTATATGCAAATGAAGTATTCAATCACTGGTGACTGAAAATTCTTGCTTACTTTACAGAGTGGAAAATCAGCTGCCATATATGCCTGTGCCAGGGATCAAGGATTTCACATTATTGAGGTACTTTTTGGAAAAAAGAAATGTTGACCTTATATTAAGACAGTAACTGCGTTTTTGTTACCATCTTATGACAGTGAGTTAACACAGTAACTGCGTTTTTGTTACCATCTTATGACAGTGAATCTAGTGCGTGAATGTGGTGGAGGGTTGAGGAAATATTATTTGTTAGCATCTTATGGTAGTGAATCTAGTTTGTGAATGGTTGCCAGTTGCATACCAGGTGTTTGCTTCTAGAGCATGTTTTTATGGTCAGTTTTTGCAGTTGAGTTTTAATGATTTATGCACATCCTTCAGACCAGTTCTTTCGTGAGAGTGGGCTAAGCTGGCTCTCACCAATCACACAGGACTTTCATCGTCTTAAAGTGCAAGACCCTTGTATGTGCTTCACATTTTATGGTTTGACCCTGTTAGAAAATGTTTTGAACTACAAGTAATTGGTACTATGATTTCCTAGAACCAGGTAAAGAGTGGGATTTTTCTGTTGTGGCATCCCGAATTCCCTCTTGCCCATGGGAGCCTGGGTTAGGTCCTAGAAGTTTCAAATTAGTTCCTGCATGTGTTACCACATTACATGTTTCTTGGTAATGACTTGTGTTTGGTAAAGTGTAGTTACAAGGAGTTTCTCCATTTATTCTAAGTTGTTTCTCCTCTTAACCTAGATAAATGCATCAGATTGGCGTAATGGAGCTCTAGTAAAGCAAAAATTCGGCGAGGCTGTGGAATCTCATTGGCTTCAGCGGTTCGTATAGTATTAATTATTGGCTTTAGATTTAATAGCCAGTCTACCTAGAAAACATATGTTCTTAAATGCAGATATAAAAAATTCTCATGAAGTACTACTAACTATCCAAAAATGCCTATTTTTGTTTCAGCACCGTCGAAAATGGAACAAAATCAGAAAACAAATCCCTACCGAAGTTTTTTAAGCCTGTCAATGCAGGCATGCATTCATCTGATGATGAAGTTATTGAAGTGACACCTTTATCGGATAAGAAAGATGCTCAAGATATTGACTCATTGCAAAAAATGTCAGCCCCTGAGCATAATCGATCTTCTAATTGTCAGAGTGAGATTAAAACCTTGATTCTTTTTGAAGATGTGGATGCTACTGTTGAAGAAGATCATGGTTTTATTTCGACTATACAGCAACTTGCTGAGACAGCCAAAAGGCCCATGATACTAACAAGCAACAGTAAGATGTCATACTAGTTATATCTGTCATCTCAAGCATTTTTCTGCTAATCAATTAATTATAATTTATTGCTAGGTGATTTTCCTGTCCTTCCAAAGAATTTGGATAGGTTGGAGTTAAGTTTTTCTGTTCCACCAATGGACGAGCTTATTGGATTTGTCTCTAAGGTATGAGTTCCTATAGAATCTTCTGGTCAGATTTTTGTATAGCTCTCTTTTTGGTCTGATATCATGACACCCTTCTAGATTTGTGCTGCAGAGAAAGCTAATATTCATCCTTGCTTGATAGAAAGATTTGTTAATTATTGTCAAGGTGACATTCGGAAAACCATCATGCTTCTCCAGTTTTGGTGCCAGGGTCAAACACCTGAGAGAGGTAATTTGTCTTCACCTTCTCGCTGGTTTTTCTGTTGGCAATGACTTCATGCATGACAGAAATGTGAAACTAGGGATGTGAAAAAGGTCACACCCTCACTGCCTAAGAGAAACCAGTACAGTATAATTGATGGTCTTTCGTCGCTTGCAATCACCATAACCATAAAAAAGAAATAAAGAAAAAAAATCCAATAGTGCATCTTCTGCCTAACCATATATCTCTGGATTTTCCATGGTTTTATTTCTGTTAAGCAGAAATTTTTGCACCCGAGACAACAAAGTTACACTTGTGGTGTCTCTGACATATCCTCTTTTACTTTAAAATACATCCGAACAAAGGTCATGTTTTCAAAATAGATACTTCTGGATATGCCCTCATGAGAAATCCAAAAAATCTTATCGTCCATTATCTTACACTTGAGAGAGCTAATTGTGATGAATGATAGACAACTTCCAACCGATCATATTGCAAATTGTTTATTTCAATAAATACCAATTTTTGTATAAGTTTAAATTTAATTTTAATTTCATTTATGTTACCGTTATATTTCAGTTTATTACAATAGAACTTAATTTTGTAAATTTGTCCAGGTAATAAACTGCACTCAACATACTGGCCATTACTCTTTGATCTAGACGCCGGGCATGGCATCCTCCCGAGAGTAATCCACTGGGGTCACCCTTCACAGCTGTCTGAGCATGTGGCTAACACGATTATTAAGTCTTTGACCTTGATGGAGCAAACCAATTGCTTAACAGACACAAAGGTAGAGGACTTGAACGTTAATGGCATGGAAGATAATAATATTTATGCCCAGGTTGCTCACCGAGACCCTATTGAAGTGAAAAAAGAAGCAATGTTAAGCCTGCAATGTCCGTTTGATGACGTTGAATGCGCACGGTTTGATGCGAATTGTGAGCTTTATGATTTCTCTTGCTCTCCAATTGCAAAAGAACCGCAAAAAAACCGTAGAAGGACTAATATGGTTCTTTCTTCTGATTCTGAGGATGAGTCCATTCCCTCAATAGATTTTAATATTAAAATCCTTCAAACTGAAAAAACACCAACTTTTGATTCTGAAGAACGATTGGAGAGCGGTTGTCAGCTTGTCGAAAGAAGTGATTTTTCTCAAATGGAGTATGCATGTGAATCACGAGATGTTTCATGCGTTCCCGAATCCTCGTTTGTTCCCGAGACACAGATTCTCAACGAAACGGAATTATACTCCACGGCAGTGTCTTATGGTCATTTTGTCGATAAAACAGGGGAAATTCAGATATTCCAAGATGAAGATTCATTACTTTCCGATTCAGAGTACTCAAAAGCTTTGCATGTGACGTGCAATGATCTGGAAATGCTAGACAATAATTCCAATTGTACCCCAGTTTGTGTCAATCAAGAAGAGGAGGTGGGGGATTCCCTTTTGAAATCCGAGGGGGATGGTCCGGGAGGATATCAGCCGTTGGATGAGTGTAGCCGTATGGATTTCATGAGATTGAAACCTTTTGAAAACTCTGAGGCAGATCAGCCGACTGATTTCGTGAAGGATGCGTGGAAAAAGCTTCAAGAAGGATGCGAGGGTTTAAACAATTATGTCACTGTGGAGGAGAAAACTGCTTGCCGGGGCTTGATATTTACTCATGGAATGAGTGATTTGATCTCGGAAGCTGATTTGCTATTGAAAGACTGCCAGACTTCAGATTTTGTTAGTGTTGCGCGCAATATGATGCTACTTAATTTTTTGGGTAAAACATTTGTTCCAACCTACACTATATGTGTTTCTGGGATTTGCAACTTGTATTTTTTTTCATTGTAATTTGCAACCTGAACTTCATGAACATTTAATTTGCATGCTCACCTACTTCTTGACCTCTGCAAAAATGGACACGTGTATGATCAAGATGTAGGCGTGTATGCAAATTATGGAAATTCATTAAGTTCAGGTTGCATTTTGCTACAAAACATACTGTAGATTGCAAAAGACGAAAACATTACAGGTTGGAAAAAATTATTTACCCTTAATTTTTTCATTGTAGTTATTTTGCATTTTAAAATGTGATTTATGTATATTTATATGTACATACATTTGCAGGATTCTTTGGGATCATCAACGGTTCTTAGTGAGAGAACGAATTCGTATACTTACTCTGATTGTCAAATGGAGATGTCGTCTGTTCTTGCTCAGCATGGGATGTGTTTCTACGCTAAGGAGATTGCCTCCTTGGGTTCGGTTGTGGGGTCCACAAACATCTCGATTTTGGCCTCAGAAATGTTGTCTTCATCATCAAGCTCAGTTGCACTGGGGAAGTTGGCTAGTCAGGACCAAAGAAAGGTTTTCGGGTCTGATAGTAAGACAACTAAACATCCCAATGTTTTCACGAGGTACAAGATCGATCTACCATTAGTTGTTCCAAATACTGTTTATGTTAAGTTTTATGCATTTATTTCAAATAATTTTCCCTATTGCTGTTGCAATCAGTGATTGGGTAAAAAGAATAAGAAAATTAAAGCACCAGACCTATAGTTATATAAAAATTAAGTAAAAAACTAACTGCACAATCGATAAAAGTATTTCCACATCATGCATAAGATAAAAAGTAACATATAAATATAAAAGTAAATGATAAATCGAAAAGTGTTCGGATATTGTATTCGAGTAGAAACAATGCCGTTTTTTGGCGTGTGCTGAGTTTTCTTCAGTTTGATTCCATTGGTTTGCATTACTGAACTACGGCGTGGGTTTTTGCCGTCTGTGCAAAACGATCAACTTATTTACGACTAACTAAAATCACTTTTTTCCCTATTTTGAGAAGTAGCAAATCAGACTCACCTTTGAGCAATATGCTTCAAAAAATAGTCCCCTCAAGATCATACCTAGCTGCAATGGGCCCTGCATTTCATGAGTACATCTCAACTTTGAGCCAAATTTCAAGATACGAAGCCTCCCGTTTATCGGAATGCACCAGAAAGAAGGAAAGAAGGTATTCACTCCCTATTGATTTTTTTTTTTTTTTTTTTTTTTTTTTTTTTTTTTTTTNTTACTGCAATCTCCGAAATTTATCTTTTACCAACATTTCGCTGATTTACAACAGAGCACGTGCGCCACGTCATTATCTCACTTCTGGTTCGTTAGCTATGACATCCGAAGAAATATCTTTGCTGGGTCAATACTCTGGCTTCCAGAACACTCCCTTATCTTCTTAGCAAACACATGTTTTAGACGAAACATCTAAATCAAAGGCAAGTTAGCATTTAACGTGATTAATTTAATCCTAGTATCTTTCTTTTTCTCTGGTTCAATGTGTACACCTTTACAGCGATGGAACTTTAAGTTTGAGAACCGAAATTGCTTCTTTTGTTATACTTGCAGCTTGAATGCAAGAGATAGGAGATTTAACAGGTAGTATTTTATGTAGAGTGTAAATTCACATTTCTCTCATAGTAAGTCTATAATTGAGGTTCTTTCTATCTGTGTTGTTCGATTGGGCACTTGACTGTCAATAAAAAGATTAGTTTTTATTTCGAAAAACATTATTTTTGACTTTTGATACTTGTTACTTGTTAGTGAACTTTGAAATCTTTGTGAAATTGTGAGCTGCCGTTGCTGAAATTATCAAGCTGAACTGAGCTCAAGTTTGAGCTTGAACCAAGTTGAGTTCAGTTTGTATGTCAATATTAACGAGGTGAGTTATAAAAAATTAAATAAAAGTTTCTATTATTAAATTAATGAGCTTGAGCTCAGTTCGTTTTTCAGTGGCTTGAATAAAAGTCTCAGGAGTCAGGACTATGCAGAGCTGCACGTGAATCGCTAAATTGTATGGCTTTGTAAGACTGTAACGGACCCCTCAGAAATTTGAAATAGTTGGACCAGTAGCAGTTGGAGAAGAAGAAGAAAGTATTTTAATTTCATTTTGATCCCTCAGAAAATGATATTCCCGAGATATGGAACCGACAGTCATAATTTAAATTATAGTGTAAAAAAAAACAAACAAAACATTGACTACTTCATAAAGAGACCCTCACAAAGCACCACATTTGCACACTGCACAAAGGCCAACTAAGAGCAACGCAAGTTTTTACATTTTACTATATTTTTTTTTTTATCTTTTCTTTATTTATGTTGTATTATTATTATGAGTTCTATTTCTATTTATCAAACCAGTCCCTGTTTTTCCAAGTATTAGTTTGATTAAAGATGTAAATTGCAAAATGTGCCATGGTGGCTAGGGTGAATGGATAAGTTTTTTTTCTATAGTTTCAACGAAATAAGAAATTTTCACAAAAAACAGTGTTTATTTAATTTCACTTGTTGTCTTCAAATTCTACGAACACAATTATAAAATTTTGAAAAAATATTATTAAATATCTTTTAACAAAAATGTTTTTTTATTAATTTATATATTTTTAACAATCAATCTTATAAATTAATATTATCTTAATTTTTATATTGCATTAACATTGAACAGTATATTTTTTTATTTGATATCCATTTACAATCTAAAGGTTATCTCATTTTTCTTTTAAAAAAACATTCTTTTCACTTTTTTTTATCTCAATTTTTATCCAACGAGGCAAAATTTTTCGAAAAAAAAAAACTCATATCCAATCCCCCACCTAAAGTCCCATTTGCAAGTGCATTTTTCAAAAGTAAGTTTGAATGAATTTTTACATGCTTTGAACCTTTTCCAATCTTCTATGGGGAGTCAATAAAATATACTTGTAGTTGGAGGATGAAATTGCAAATAAAAATGTGGACCATCATGTAGGCCTCCCCGAATTAAACGGGAGCAATAATATGAGCGTATGACCATTTTTTTGCTTCTGACTAAAAAATTCCAAAATGTATAAATTTTCAAGGGCCCATTTGCATTTGCTCTTAAAATTTTACTGATTCCTGCACAGTTTAGTTTTATTTTATTTTATTTTGTCTTTATTCTTTTATGAATACTGAATCTTCATCAGCTGCGTGAATTTCCGTTACTCTCAACGTATTCAAATTATAGCATCAACATTTCATAAATGTTTACTATATCTTTTAGGTTGAAATTAATAGTTTCAATAAATGAATATTCTATCTTTTGTAATCTATCTAACAGATTTACTATATATATAAGACTAATCTTATTCATTTACTGTTGTTAGGCAGGCGTGGCCGTAGTACTTTTTCAACATAAATGTATACTTTCAAATTAAAATATAACACTAAAAAAATAATTTAAGTAAAAGTATAATATTTAATAATATAAATATGTATTTTTATTATAAATGTATGATGAGTTGAGGTCTATGCTTAATAGGAATGTGATCTTTATTAATTATACCTCATTTTGTGGTTTTATATTATTATCTTTATGATGTATATTCGGATTTCTCTTGAATTTGGCCTACTTTCGCTTATCAAAATACAGTCCATCAAACTATAAATATCAGAGCTTAAAATTTTTCCCAATAAGTGAAGTGGCATAATTGTTATAGTACAGGTGAATTTATTGTTGTCATGAAAAAGAGCACTGAACAGTTAACAGTAAATATTCAATAATAGCAACTGTATTATGGTGTTGAAATAGAAAATTTAGCATTAAAATCCACTGTAGTGTATGCCTTTGTGCATCATTGCCTCTATTTATTGTGGTAAAAAAAGGGACCAACTTAATTTGAATTTTTTTAACTTTTTTTTTTTTNTGTACTTTTTATAAAATTGGAAGTGCAAAGTTTGAACATGTTATCTATCACGACTAATTTAACTATGGATACACACAGATTGTATAACGGATAGATATGTCGATATATTATACTGTGAATTAAAATATATATTTATACCACTCGACAGTCATACTCATTTTATGTTGTTTTATAAAATAAAAGTATACACATTATGTCATGAAAACACAGTTGGTATGAGTTCAGATAATTATTTTGAACTATAAATTAGCAAATTAAAGATGATGAAGGGAAGGGGTAAAAGCAAAACAAGCATTAGGTTAGAACTCTAATAATAAAAAAGAGTTTTTTTCAAGATAAGGTAAACTATCAAATCGGGGCCTAAAAGATTTTTTTTTTCTCAATTTGGGACCTAAATGTTATAAAACTATCAAATTAAGTCCTAGAATTAACAAAATTCATAACACCATTAAATTGAGAGTTAATTTGAAGTTTTAAAACACCAAATCTGTTACAAAGTAAAATAATAATAATAAAATTAAGGGAAAAACGAGATTGTTGGAGAAAATTAAGAAAAGTATGAAACTCTTGCTCGGTTTTCTTCTATCGTCTATTTCTGTTTTTTTTTAATATTATGCGAATGTTTACTATTTATTTTATGTGAGTAAGCGCCACTCTTTTTTTTCTCTTTTTTTTTTCTTTTTAAATTCTCAATTTAATGGTGTTATTGGTTATGTTAATTTTAGGACTTAATTTGATAGTTTTATAACATTTAAGTCTTGAATTGAGAAAAAAAAAAAATTAAGACCCCGAAAAAACTCCTAAAATAAAAAATAATCCACACAAAGCTGAATATTCATTAATATGCTTTTAAATGTAAAGCCACAAGCAGCCAAGATTCATGAGTCATCAGAACTTATGACCTCAACCTGCACAACAAGATATTAAAAAAATAATAGTAAATTATAACAAAATCTACACCTTTTCACCTTCCTACCATATCATCTCTTTAGCTTCCCATTTT